AAATGAATTTCCAAGGGTCATTGATTAAACACAATTGGAATTCTCAGGCACCCCCTTCTACAAACCACATTTTTCCAGGGCTTCTGACAAAAAATTACTTGGAAATCCGGGGGGTAGGAGAATTTATGCCGTGTGTCCTCAACGGGGTGTACGGATAAAAAATGCAATAAGCCATTCCTACATCGGTAATTATAAGGTTGTTTTATGCTAATTTTTGGCATTTTTAAAAACAGTAGTTCAACGTTCAAACATCAATAGCGCATGTGCTATATATCAAAATCTAAGTTAGTCCTTTCTGAATGCAATGATCTTATTTCATTGTGATAGCTTATATAGCTTTTACGTTGCATGAGATCAAACAGTGCACAAGTTGTTCAATTAAATGGAAAGTTGTTGGAAGTTCATGAAGCTTTGTCCCTCACGAGTAAAAGTGAATTTCCGCCAGGAAAACAATTTCCTTTGAAGGAGAACAGTTTCAAACTGATGCTATATCCAGTAAAAGTCTAGTAAGTTCAGTTTAGACTTCCGAGACAGAGAGAGCATTTGACGAATAAGTTAGTTACATGAATTTTTTCTGTGTTGGTGCAGTGTACTCAGGTGAATATGATATTTGTGGTGTTACTCTGAGTGTATATCCACACCTGGCGAGCTTGAAAAATATGCCCGGCCACGGTGGGATTCGAACCTACGACCTTTGGAATACTAGCCCAATGCTCTTCCAACTGAGCTACGCGGTCAGGACGGTTCGAGTAAGTGATATTTTGGAACAGAATCTAGTTCCTTCAATACCAATGTATTCCTTCAATGTATTCATATTACTAGAATACATTGGTATTGAAGGAACTAGATTCTGTTCCGAAATATCACTTACTCGAACCGTCCTGACCGCGTAGCTCAGTTGGAAGAGCATTGGGCTAGTATTCCAAAGGTCGTAGGTTCGAATCCCACCGTGGCCGGGCATATTTTTCAAGCTCGCCAGGTGTGGATATACACTCAGAGTAACACCACAAATATCAAGTTAGTTACATTTCATTTCTTCCACAGATACCTTTGTTTGGGTATTTCCAGTTTGAGTACGTCCGCACATTCGAACGATGTGTTTGCATACTTTGCGCCATTTGTTTCTTTGTTCTTGTTTATAAACGCTTCAATGAAATCGACTGCATGAACGTGTCTTGCTTTGCTTGCGAGATCTCCTGTGAATCTCCTAAGGTCCAGAATTATAATACAACACGGTCATTAAAGTGCATATGACATGAAATTTCTTATTTTCTTAAATGAAAGAACTCTTTAGGCTGTAGTGTAACTTATTTTTCAGTTTCTTGTTTTTATAGTTTGTTCCCGAGATATTTCAATTTGTTTGATATGTAAATGAGTGTGAATATGTCCGCTAATTTATGACGTCACGTTGGTTGCAAGCTCAACTTACACTGGTTATAAATGTATTAACTCTAAAAACTGTTGATATCAGTTCACGTTTTTCTCCAGTGTTTCATCACATTTACCAGTGAGTGAAGTTTGAAATTATCATCTTGGATGATAGAAGAAGTTGAAGAGCTTGCAACCAACATGACGTCATAAATTAGCGGACATATTCACACTCATTTACATATCAAACAAATTGAAATATTTCGGGAACAAACCATAAAACAAGAAGCTGAAAAATAAGTTACACTACAGCTTAAAGAGTTCTTTCATTTAAGAAAATAAGAAATTT